GACAGCTTTTACCACTCATACAAAGTACTGTAGAATACTATTTGACTACACCTCCAGTGGGTCGGGGGGATATAAATAGACCCACTGCTTCGTCTGCAGAAGGTGCAACCCCCTCAGGGGCGGAGTGTAGCGCACGGACCCCAACCCTCTGGGATCCGTGTGCGACACTCACTTTGGTGTATCCTCCTCTTCTCCTTCCTTCTTTCTTTCTTCTTCTATCTTTTCTCCCACCGCTGACCTCAAGTGCAATAAAAAGAGAGGTCACCCATCCCACAGAGTGGGCGCCTCGTTGACCGTGAGGTGCGACCCGTGCGGAGGGAAACCGGGTACTTGGCGGTTGAGGTGAGATCAGTCCACGGACTGTCCCTTGCCAACGCACCTCTTTGGCCCAGGTTTTCCTCTTAGACGGGAGGGTGGCACGGCCCATGCCACTCAATTGGTTGAGAGCTGAAACCCCATCAAGCCCTGGGTCAATCTTGACGGGACGGTCTTGTACTTTCTCGTTGAGAGTATAGCTCCGGGGTAGCCCTGGCACAGCTCTGGTCATCCGAGCAATGTGTCCCCTTGTTGGGCTCCGTGGCGGGCGGGGAGCCCCGGAGTCGAATTAAATAGAAAACTCTCATGGATTCTAAAAACTCTAAAGACCCTTCCCCAGCTCCCAACGTGAAGAAGTCTCGGCTGGCCGAAGTTGAAGCGGCCGCCGAGCTGAGCAAAAGTTCAAAAAATGGTAAAAGGACCTTTACCGATGCCTCCTTCCTCCCTCCTCCCAAGGAGCTTCTGAGGCAACCGTACGTGGCCATCTCCAGTACAAAAGACGCACAGAGAAGAATTACTGATCTCAACCTCTTTAAGACAGGAGATGCACTACGGAAAGTTCTGGGATACATTCCCACATGTGTACAGAAACTTTCCTGTGGTGCACTCTTTGTCAAGTGCGCAACTGAGAACGAAGTGACCAAACTCCTGGATACCACGACCTTCGGCGGTATTCCATGTAAGTCCAAGCACTACCAGAAATTTAACCGCTCGAAGGGCGTTGTCCGCAGCCATGAGCTGAAAGGCTGCTCCATGGAAGAGATTGTGGAGCACTGTGAGGGAGTGGTCGAAGCCTGCCGGATTACTCTTCGGCGGGGGGAGACTACTATTGAGACGAACACGATTGTCCTCACATTCGAATCGTGCCGCCCTCCAGCCACCGTTCGGGCATCTTACTTGGTACTCGACGTACGACCCTATGTGCCGAACCCTCTGCACTGTTTCAAGTGTCAGAAGTTCGGCCATAGCCAGTCACGGTGCCGTCACGCAGCCGTGTGTCCTCGTTGTGGCAAGACCGGGCATCCTGAGAAGGAATGCAAGGCTAGTCCTTGTTGCCCCAATTGCCGCGGCCAGCACACAGCTTTCAGCAAGGAGTGCCCAACTTGGCTCCAAGAACGCGCCATCCAAGAATACAAGGCACAAAATGGCTGCTCCTTCCAGGAGGCCCGTAAGGTTGTCTGCCCGCCAATCATAACCCCAGTCATTGGCCGGTCATATTCAAAGGCAGCCCAGGTGGTCACGAGGTCGGCAAGTAATTCCACTGCCGACCTCCCAAAGCCTGCGGTCAACAGGCAAGTCTCTGTGCCTAAGAACAAAAAGCCCGCTACTACCCCTGTGGTAACCCCCTATGAGGTGCCACTTTCTGACCACTATGGGGTTCAAGGGGAGGCAGGGTTGGTGATTTTTATAATTTTTTTAATAAAAAAAAAAAAATCTTTTTAAAAATTTAAATCAGATTTTTAAAATTTAAATCAGATTTAAAATTTTTTTTTTATTTAAAAAAAATATCGACACAGTTTGGGATTTTTGGTGGCTGAAAGTAAGTTCTTTTAGTGCAAAATACATTGTCTTTATTTTAACTAATGATTAATTTAAGCAACTGCAATTTTAGAAAGCCTTAATCTGCTATATCAGTGAATTATAAATGGCTACAGACAAAAAATGAAGAAAATGTCAGTCTAAAAGGAAGGGTGGGGGGGGGGGGGGTAATTATGCCTAGATTAACTTGCATTTTATTACAGTGTGTGTGTGTGCGCGCGCTTGTGTTTGTCTAAAAAGAAGAAAATGCTAATTTCAATTATGAAAAAAAAGTAAAATATGTACAGTATTATTTTACTACTTACAGTGACAGGGGGGGAAAGCAGACTTTTAAGCATGATTATTTTAGTCTACTAAACCTTATATCTGTTTTATAAAACCAAGGAAAGGAATTCTGAATGTTTAAATGACTTAAAGGCTCAGCTTCCAAAACCCTTTATTTTGCTAGGTGATTTCAATGCCCACAGCCCTCTTTGGGGAGACAAACCTACAGACCAGAAAGGAAAAATAATAGAAAACTTTTTATTTCAAAATAACATCTGTCTCTTAAATGATAAATCCCCAACTTACAGAAACAGAGCCACTTATGGCACTTCATCCCTTGACCTCACCTTTTGTATCCCTGACCTAGTCCCAGATCTTGAGTGGTCTGTGCTGGATGACCGTACGGACCATTTCTCAATTCTTCTAAAAAACAATAGCCTCCAAAACGAACCGATCCCAGAACGCTTCAACTTCAAAATAGCAGACTGGGACGGATTTGCCAATCAATGTTTCCAGATTCTTAATCCCAATTTCGATCTCAACTACAATAAATTCCACGAAAAGCTTTTAGAAATATGCCACGAACACATACCAAAAACAAAAACAAAACTCCGGAGGAACATTCTCTTGGGAATGTGAGGATGCAGTAAAGATAAAGAAGGCAGCGTATCGAAAGGCCGTCAACAACACCACCACAGAAAACAAGAGCAATTATTTAAAGGCTCGAGCTGTGGCACGTAGATGCCTCAGGGAGAGCAAAAGACAATCATTCAAAAAATACATCTCCAAAATCAACAGCCAGACGCCACTCAACCAAGTTTTCAAAATTGCTAAAAAAATTCTTGGGTAGACGCACAGACACCATTTGGCACGTCCAGAGGCCAGATGGAACCACAGCTGAAACACAAGTAGACATCGCAAACACAATAGCTACATCTCTCGCCAAAAACTCATCCCAAGCAAACTACAACACCACTTTTCAAAACATCAAAACTAACAGAGAAAAACAACACCTAAACTTCCACTCAAACAACACTGAAACCTACAACGCAGACTTCACAATAGACGAACTAACATCGTGCATCTCGGACCTGGGCAATACAACCGCGGGACCGGATGACAACCACAACCAGATCATTAGACACTTACCCTCAGAAACACTCACACTTCTACTAGACATATACAACGACATGTGGCGATCTCACTCCTTTCCGGAGTCTTGGCGTCTCGCCACTGTCATTCCAATACCCAAACCAAACAAGGACCACACACACCCATCCAATTACAGACCAATAGCACTAACGAGCTGTCTCTACAAGCTCATTGAAAAAAATGATCCGCATGCGACTCGTATGGTTTTTGGAAACTACGGGCTCGCTGAGCGGTCTCCAGTGCGGATTCAGGAAAACTCGATCCACTCTGGATCACTTGGTCTGCCTGGAGACCTTTATATGCGAGACGTTCGCTGAAGGAGGCCACATGATCGCCATCTTTTTCGACCTAGAAAAAGCCTTCGACACAACCTGGAAGTACGGCATTCTTCGAGACCTGCACGCACTCGGCATGCGAGGTCACCTCCCTGCCTTCATTGGCAACTTCCTGAAGAACCGTTCCTTCCAGGTTTGTGTCGGATCCTCCCATTCAGACCCCAAACAACAGGAGGAAGGAGTCCCCCATGGGAGCATCCTTTCTCCTCTCCTATTCGAAATTAAAATAAATTCCATCGTAAAAACCCTCCAAAACAGCATAGACAGCTCGTTATACGTTGACAACTTTTTGATATGCTGCCGTTCGAAAAATCCTCATTTGAGATCTATGGAAAGGCACCTGCAAACGCAGCTGCACAAACTCGAAAAGTGGGCAAACAATAACGGTTTCCAGTTCTCCCCGTCAAAGATGGTTGCAGTACACATCTGCCGAACAGGCAGACGTGTGCTGCAGCCGGATTTGACACTATACGGGGAAAGGATTCTTGTACAGGACCAAAAGGCACATCTTTTTAGGTGCTAGAGGTGTCTTGCCCGCTATTTTGTCATTCAACGTAGAAAGTGAAATGTTAAAATTCTTAGCAGCCTGTCTTTAAGTCATTTGACCTGTCTTGACACTTTCAATTGCCTGGAGAATCACCTTTGGATCATGTAACTTTTTCTCTCTTTTGGGAGTTTTTCTCTCCTTTTCGCCAGTCTTTTTCGGTCGTCCCTTGATTTTGTTCCGATCTTTGTTTCTGTAATGAACACATGAGGGACTTTTCTTAGTGATTAATTATCTATCTAAAAATTTTTATCACTACTGTCATCATCATCAGTGTCACTTTCGAATTCTTCTATGGCTAATTATCTCTAGATCTAGATCTATTTGTATTTGAATTTGGCCTTTTCAGTATTACTGGCATATAAGCTCTAATTCTGGGTTATTTAAATTATGCACAAAATCATAATTCTTTTTCATTTAACCATTGGCATTGTAACATGTTGTTTGCCCGAAGGATGAGAATCTACCGCTTTTTTTTTAACTATCCGGGCACCCCCCCCCCCCCCCCCTTTGGGCAAAAATGGCTTGACTGAACTGTACATTCTCTTTCTTCCTCGACAGGGCTCCATATTTGAGATCATTGTGCAGATTTTGGGCCTGACCATGAGTTACTGTGGATTCCTCCCCCTGACCATTTGACTAAGATCCTGCATTGTCCTTGCTCCCGAGCACTGGGATCTTAGGCGGAGACTACTGTATATCTAGATCTAGATTAGATCTAATACTTGCCATCAATGGTCCTTACCTACAAATTTGTTTATATAGATTTTAGATCTAGATCTAATTCTGCCATGAACACCGTGATTTTCGGATAAATGACAGCTTGGTACATTAAGTCCTTTCAGTTTCATTTTCATTTTCTTTTTTGTCGCATTACAATGATTATTAATATAGATCTAGAAGCCTATATATTATTAGGCCTATGTAGGTTCTAATTACTGTGATAAGACTAGAGTCTAACCCTGACCCTAACCCTAATCCTGGAAAACGCATATTCGGAATTAAAAGCGGAATCTTAACAATCGCCGACTTTCCTTACTTTAAGTGGAAAATTACGTTGTGAAACATGTTTTGTTGATTTTTGCCATGCAACTTTCTCCTCGTGATTTCTTTAAAAAATTAATTTTGGTGTGTTTTACGGGGCTCACAACTGCATCATAAGGTCATGAGCACGCTGGACACCCCCCCTAATTTTGAGGGTATCGGGTCTTTACGCCATTTCTTTTCGGAAAAGACTCGAAAAAACATCTGATTTGCATCCCTTCTCACTTCTTCAGGCTCATTTTCATCAAAATTGGGGTAGGCCTGTTCCTTACCTTCTACTTCATCTAGATCTAGAAAAAAATCTAAATCAACAGTCCCTATAAGTTTGTTTATATTCCACCTGCCTGAAACAGTGAAACACATGTGCCTAAACGTAGAACGGCGCATCTGCCTGATTGGCGGCTAAATGTGTCATCACATTCTAGGATACCCACAGACTAATTTTAGAAGGCTGTGGAGATACCAAAGTAGAGAATCTTTGGAGATACCGCGTGGAACGACATGTCAGTGGCTTGACATTATCCATATCGATGTGTTTCTAACCGTAAAATTTCACACTTGCGGCTAACTGCAGCCCGTCAGCCATGCTCTCTGATTGGTTACAAAGTTTCCGGTATGTTGATAACATTACGGAATTCCGGTGGTGATGTTTAAAATTGAAACACGGTAAACGCATAGACAATAAAGCGCGCGGAAATTGCAGCAAAGACACCGGAAGATTACTACCCCATTCCCCTAGCCCGATAAACAATGCACAAAAGAGATAAGCAGCAGCATCATCGGATCACTGCATCATATCACATTACCGGTATTCCTGGAAAAACATTGCACCAAAGCGTCGCGCCATCGAAGATTCTCTAAAAGATCTTTGGTGATAGGCGGTTGGCTATATTTAGATGTAGTCATGTGATCAGAGGCGTATCCCCAAAGATTCTCCACTTTGGTATCACGGTCTGACGTGGCACAAGATGGCCACCTTGCCTAAAAATAGTTTGCGTCGTTCTGCATTTAGTCGCATGTCCCGAACACCCCCCCCCTCCATGTTGTTAAAAACAGTCAAATATTACTGCGCTTTGGTCCTACTACTACTATATTAGGGACTACTTGAATGCCGTCTATCAGTGTGGACGATCAAATTGTCAAGAACAAAGAAAAAAATGATGTTATAGCACAAAAGTAAATTACTTTTGTCGTCTACAAAGATGCTACGGCTATTTCACTTTTTGAACCGAGTCGAACTACGCGGGTTGCCATTTTGCTCTCCCCAGAAGTTCTCGCTACTCTTCTCTCTCTCTCTCTCTCTCTCTCTTTCTCTCTCTCTCTCTCTCTCTCTCTCTCTCTCTCTCTCTCTCTCTCTCTCTCACTGCCCGCAGACGAAATTGCTTTCTTTCAACTCAAGAACGCTAGAACGTTTGTTCTATGTTCATGGTGAACGCCACACTGGTTGGCCTATCACGGTGAACGCACACCGGGTGAGAATAGCCAAAAGGCTGGCCTGCGTAGAATTTGCGCATATTTTGGTCCGTCAAACAAATTTCATCTCAAGAATTCAGAATATTGACAGTGAAATCGAACTGGGATAGTATGTTTCTGTTTCTGGACCCATATTGGTTATTGGGAATCCTCCTTGTATACTTCATTGAAAGCCCAAACAGAAATGTTCACTCCAGCAGCTGTACCATAGTGCTCATTAAAGGTATATTCCGTTACGGGAATCAACAGAAAGGGACCAAAATGAATTTGAGAATCGGAAATTTTACAAAATGCTTGCACAGGTTTGTCATGTTTCACAGGCCTATATGTGGTATTCTATAGCTCGTATTTAGCTTAGTATTTTATAACGTGAGTATCATTTTTGTTTATTTTGTCTATTTAAAGCCTATTTCTTAACCTATACGGCCGGCGCATCTCTTGTAAACAATGCAATTGAGCAACGAAGATTTATTTTCTGCATTATTAGAGTCGGATGTTGGGTTATGACAGTATTATTTTAATTTTTTTGTTGTTGCAAGAAATAACAAAATATACGATGATATTGTATTTCATATCAATATTTTATCCATAGAGCGATAGATGACATAGGGAATAGATGACATAGGGAATTTCATATCTTAGACATTTTGAGGAGGTTTAGGAGATATTTGTGTGGTTTTGGGGGGTTTCAGTTGTTTTCAGGAGGTTCCGATATTAAATAAGTACCGCAGTGTGTCTTGGGCGAGTTAGGTATTTTGTTTTGTTTCTGTGGAGTCAGTAAATGTCAGTTATAATTTTGCTTTTTTCCCCCAGGAAAATAGGCACAAAGCAATATGCTTTAATCAAGTAAATATTAAAATTTGGTGGGTTCATTTATTTCTGATCCAGAGATTTAATAACTTTAACTGATTTTATGGTGGATGGAAATTCATTCCCACACCATTTTTATGCAGTATATATCACATATGTACATTTCTACATTGAGCTTTGGAGCTTCAATATTCTATGTTATAAATATGTTATAGTGTATACCATAGCGCTCTCTCTCTCTCTCTCTCTCTCTCTCTCTCTCTCTCTCTCTCTCTCCCTCCCTCCCTCCCTCCCTCCCTCCCTCCCTCCCTCCCCCCCTCTCTCCCTCTCTCTCTCTCTCTCTCTCTCTCTCTCTCTCTCTCTCTCTCTCTCTGTTTTAGAGCTCTGGTGGGCGGGAACTTTTGCCTTTTTTTAAAAAAGGATTTCCTTCATTTTGAGCTATTGTGGGTGGGAGCTTATGTCTAAATTTTATTTTGAGGATTTGCTTCATTTAAGAGATGTAGAGTGTCAGCTGTGTGTGACTTTTCTAACCAGAATCTTTTTATCCCCAGATCTTTCAAGGTTGACTGTGAGGTGCAGTTGATCGTTCGTTTGAATAGACCGAAAGGACAGGATCCATTCCTCAAGGTCATCAAGCTGGTCACGGGCCACAAAGATCATGTTGTGTCGAAAGAGGTAGCCATTTCATTTGTACCCTTTATAATAAGTCTAATAGTCAAAGTTCGCAAAGTCAAACTCAAAATGTCCGTATTGGCTTTTAGAGGGGCAGCTGATACGAACTGTATAGGACTATTACAGGCTGCTGCGGAATTAAAGAGAAAGTGCTTTATTATTAACCCTCAGGGTGTCATGACGGCCGACCATTGCCTGTCTATGTGTTTACATTTACTGCTCGAACTGTTCACCACCCAAAGACTTAAAATTTTTAGCTTCTAAAACTTGGTGTAATTCGAGCTCTCAAAACAGTTTAAACCAGTAGCAGATCTCTCTCTGGTTTGTGTTCTTCAAAGGGTTCTAAAACTAGATCTAACTTTTAAAATATTTTTATTTTGCAATAAGTGTTTTACGGTGCTCGCAACTGCATAAGGTCTTTTGGGCGCGCGGGACACATTTAACTTTTTCAGTCGGTAGGAAATTTTTAATTTAGCCTGAGTGAAGGTCGAAGCTTACTCTTATCCAGGGGCGTGGCGTCACTTCCAGAGAAATTGGCGCCAAGAACAAATGTATGCACAACGAATAGTATTGCCTACTTATTACAGGCCTTTATACTGTACACCTACTATACGCGTCTTCATTTATTTTTAATACTGAAACTTCCATGTGAGAAGAATAGATATGTGCCGGTACAACAGTACAATCTCTTAGTGTGATGGGAGTACCTGTTGTAGCATTTTTGGCTGAGTTATGTTCTTGGTGATAACTCTTGTGTCTTCCGTCAAACGTCTGGATGGGGTATTAAAGAAACTTTTTTTGGAAAGAAAACCCTGTTTTCAACTGATTGAATCAAATGTTTTATAGATCATTTTGATTTATTTTTACCAGACTTCACACCTAAACAATGAACACCCAGATGGGATCAGGCAGAGACACTGGTTCAGGTAGCGCAGATCTGGGCTCGGCGCCCTCGGGGACGTCAGACGTAGGGAACAAAAGACGCGGGGAGACCCTTGCGACTGGCAACGGGAGGCTTACCCACCCTCCTCCCACTAGCCTAATCATAGACACCTTAACTAAAGACTGATGTACTTAGGGATGTACACTGAATAAGAGATTTGTTTGAAAAAATTATTGTGATATTTACTTAAGTTTTGGAAAATCGTATTCCCTTTTTTGAAAATCCTTTCTCCATTTCAAAGGGTGGCGCCATGGTGCCATTTGCGCTTGGAGAGCCACGCCACTGCTCTTATCGGTTTTGGATAATATTGACTAGAATTACAGTTGTGTTCACTTGGAGATGGGGAAGGGTGGTGGTGGTTTGGCCAATCAATAATCAAATAAAGTTGACCAACCAAAAGGGATCAATTCCGACTGTAATACACACAGGAAATGAACTGATTCATTATTGAGCAGGGTGACTGTCAGGCCCCGGGATTTTGAGGACAACTGTAAATTGCCCCGAGAAAATACATGAAAGTTCTCGAATATTTGAAAACCAAATCTGATAAGTCTTTAAGTTCATTTTTGCCGGTCAGTCTATTCATTTGGCTTTTCCCTGGTCTGAGAGTATGTTTCACACGGACAGGTGGCAATGGCGGCTAGCGGAAGTGTATGTGTGTAGAACCGAGGCTCGATCGGGAAAAGTCAAGATCTGCTTTCGTTGCCAACCAGAAATGTTTCAGTAATAGTCTGACAATGTAACATTTGTAACATGCAGGTTGTGCATTACGAACGGGCCTTTTTTGGAGATCATTCTTTACGTGGAGCTGCCTTATTTTTCCCTCAAATTGGGGTCTTTTAAAAAAATTTCCAGGATATGGTGTGGACCCTGTATATGGAGCACACACTGTCCTTGTTATGTAACATGCCCCTGGAAAATGGATGAACCCCCCCCCCCCCCCCCCCCCCTTGAAAACTGAGAAGACTGGTTGGCAGTAACCCTGTCAGAGCTATCCCACGGTTCACGTTCCAGTCTTTCCAGACTTTCGATTATTTAAAAATGACGGGCAATTCATGTTTACTAGTGATAAAGAAGGATGCCACTGTATGAAATTCTAAAAATCAGGATCTCAGGGGGAAAATCGGAAGCATGTCAATTTGTCATTCCGCCTTGACTGTGCCCTGCATGATGAAAGTTATCACTGACACTCTCAAAAAGAGTAAATGATTGGTTGGTTGATTGAATGAATTGAATTTTATTTTTCAATGGTTTTGTAACCGCAGAACATTCATAGTTGAAATTTTACAAAGTAATTTGCTTTGATTTGCATGCAAAAAGGAAAAAAAATATTGAACAGCACAAGCTGAATTGACATTTTAAAGGGACTATCTCTACAATACCAATTAGAAGGTAGAGCATAAAAAAACTTAAGGTACCACTACAGTGTTAAAGTGCTTTAATTATGACAAACTGAGCAGCCCCCCAAAAAATCGGGATCAACGACCAATCAGTGCCAGGATGACTGCCAAGCTGACTTAGGGGGAGAGGTACACTCCAGGAAAAATGTTCTAAACGAATGACTTTTATTCACTTCCCTGTAATTGTGCAAAAAGTTCTTGGGTAAATAGGATGTGCTAAGGGTGAATTTGTTGATTTTTCCTGAAAAATAGGTCTCTGTGGTGGCCATCTTGGGTTTTCAGACCAGTTTCTTAGTGCAGAAGAATATCATAGTAAATATTGAATTATTAGCCTGAAATTTGGCACACGAGTACAAACCTATATATATGGACTGAGGATCCATGTGAGGATTTTGACCTATCTTTTAAACTAAAAAAGTGAGCCCAAAGTCAATGGACCCCCGAGAGTCAGTTGACGAAATTTTGGGGTACATATTATTATAAAAATTTGAATATTTCCACAAGGTACCAATATTTCCCAATTCTCTCACATAGATCCCCAGAATAGATCTTAAAGCACCTGTACGCCAAAACAAATTGAAAGCTTCTAGCTTCAGTTGTTTTTGAAAACTTGCTCCAAGGAGGTCACATATGTCAAAAAGTAGATTTTGAGAAAAACAAAAATCTGGGATTTTAAAAAGGATTTTAATTTCAATTTGCACTTTGCAAACACCCTTTTAGGTCATTTAGGGTGTTTTTTCAACAGTTTCATAATTGTGACCTGATAGAACAGATGTCAAAGGATATTTTTCCGCAAAAAAACAAAAGTTGGATAGTTTGAAAAATTTTATCGATATTGTCTTGTATCACCGACCCGGGTCTTCCCTTAAAATTTTTTCCACATATTGATAAAATGAATTGGCCATCTATATACATAAATATGGAATTTCTAAGCTTAATTCCGTCAAATTAGAGCGTAATGGCAATTTTTGTGTTAGCTCCTTAGGAAAATGTTCTCTGCTGTTACCAACAAAAATCATAGAGCTGTGTTACTGGAATATCATGTTGGTGAAACTAGGTACATTCATCAGGCAAATAATTAAAAAAAACACACATCTGTTTTACAATCCACGGAAAATTGTTTCGGATTAAAGTGCCAAATTTAAAAATCAATGAAAATTTTAGAGTTTCAGTTTGCAATTCTCACTTTAAGATCAAACATTGTGATCACATGGATTCCTATTCCTTTTAGCAGTAAGGTGTAAACAAACCTCACACTTACTTTTTAAAAACAAAGTTCTAGATTTTTTAAATGAATGTAAAGAGAGGCGGTAACAGGGAATAACCTTCAGATGAACACAATGCATAAACAGTGCGTCATCTGTCAACTCTGTGTTATCACAAACAGAGCTGTTAAAGTACTTTTAAAAAGGTACTTAAGTACAGATTTAAGTACAATCTAGAATTTGTACTTAAGTACAGTAAAAGTACTTTCCTGTAAAATGTACTTGAGAACAGAAAGTACTTATCAGTACATTTTGAGTACTTTCTACTAATATACTAAAACACTCAGTGCTAATGCAAAACATCATATTAAATAACATATCCAGTATATTTGACAAATTAGGCCATTTATTACTAAAAAAGGTAAACAGTATACAAAGCATTTGAATATACGCACTGAACGTAGGTGGAAAAGGTCCGTGAAATTGAAAAAAAAACCAACAAACAAAAAGATGCAACTAGTGAGTAAGTGATATTATGAATACAACTTGTTTGAGCAAGACAATTTGATCAAATGTAAGTCAGTCCTAGAGGTGGGAAAGTAGGAAAAGTATCCAGATTGGAAAATGTAGAGACAAAGTTGCTCTTAACAAATATAGAATTGATGAAAATGGCCAGCAAAGAAATGGAAAAGTGCCTTGAATTCTTCATTAACAAATCCTCAAGGAATCAATGTAGCCTTAAGCATAAACCACAAAAAAAAAAAGTTAAAAAGAAATTTTGGTAGCCTAAAAAATTGTTAGATACACATTGAGAACTCAGTTTCAGTTTCAATTGATTATAATAGTGGTAAGACAGATTTTGGTCACACTGTGCAGTCCACGGCTCCCACGGCAAACCAAAATACATGTAGTTTCCTAGAGTCTAGTAAGTGTAGTGTAACCAAAGATTATTTACTACAGTAGTCTCCGCCTAAGATCCCAGTGCTCGGGAGCAAGGGAAATACGGGATCTTAGCCGACGAAGCCAAGGAAGAATCTACAATGACCCATGAACTGACGTGACCCCTGGGTGGGTTTATGACATTTGGCGCGCAAAGAGTGGTCAACCTTGATGACCAATCACAGTTGCAAGGTGACATGAGGCATGCCATATATACACTCATAGCCTATCGTGAGTCTCGAGATCTTTATCTATGTTTATCCAGTTGCCCCTCCCCTTTTCCTGTCCAAATATTTTAGCCTTCCATCTCTGATTGAGCCCCCCCCCCCCCCCGTCTTCGTCATTACGCACCATTACGTTGCGACCACACCAATTAAAATTCAGGCTGTCTCGCAAATTCGGGAATAGCGGGAATAGAGAAAAACTGCCTTCAATGGTCGGGAAGAGTTCACAGTTCGATGCGATCCCGCCTGGAGCGAACTAGTAGGCCCTACCCACCCAGCGAGTGACGTAAGTTTAGTTGGCGAGCTCAGATGCGAGTGCAATGGTTGGGGGGGGGAAAAACGCATAGGTCAGTTCACATATCTGTGTGATCCCGTCTGGGGCAAACGTTGGACGTTTTATGGAGTTTTACAACGCTTGTGATCACTTTCACGAGAGTGGCTGATCCTTGACGCGGCGGGCCGTTCTTTGATCTCAAGTTTTAACTCTTGGTTGATTAGCTGTGCCCTCCCGGGTGTTTGTTCCCTAAATTATGATCAGAAATGCCGGCACTTACCGCTTCGTTAAGCTTCAAAAGTATTCAAAATGTACTTTAAAAATACTCAAAAGTACTTTTATAAAAAGTATCGGAGTACAGTAAAAGTACTGATTCTCAAAATGTACCGGAGTACAGTAAAAGTACCGAAAATTGTAACGTAAGTACAAGTACCGGAGTACTTGTACTCCGTTGCAACCAACTCTGATCACAAATCTTGCACGCTCAAGTGTTTCGATCTGATTCCGCCGCCAAAAGCTTGTAAAACAAATGTTTGAACTGCTCTGGTACTGTTTGTACAGATGTCATTCAAAAGCCGTTTTTGGGTTTTAAAAAATGTCTTTCAAGGTAACAATATTTTAAAACCATTTAAAATTCTCGAGTTGTCAGACAGAAGGAAAAAAAATCCTGAATGTGTACTTTATCCATCTGCTGAGTTGAAAGCACTTTTTTCTTCAGTTTACTTTTGTTCTTTATGTTGAGAGTTCTAAAAAATTAAAATTTGCTCTGGATTTAGTACTTTCTTCATATTTCTCCAGAAGCTAACATTCGAATACCTTTGTTTTTGTTTTTCTTGTATTGGTCTTTCAATTCATCCATGAGAGCAAAAGGAAATTTCAGTATTCTTTTCACAGCATTCTTGCTCTCTGATAAGGCGTTATTTTTTCTTCTCTGTACTGTTTTCATTGCAAACCTACATTTTAGTCTAGAAAAATAAAACACACTTGAGGATGAGGCATCCGTTGTTTTGTCATCAGCATTGTTTGATTTCCTCTTCAGATTTGTGTCTTTCTCCGTCGTTCTCCATTCCATACATGCTGCCCTATAGTCTCTTGAAATTATACGAACGACAGGTTTCCTTGCCCTTTGTTCTTTGTCTTTGATGCAGTTCTGCTTTTCATATCGCATGTAGTGCTGTCTCTTCACTGGGTTCTTGTTTTGCCTCTCTCTGTCTCTCCTTTATTACTTTTTTTTCAGCAGGAGTCAGCTTTGTCTCTGGGGGAAAATAGCAAATATTTATAAAAAGTCCTGTTTGAGAAATCAACTATCAATAGGGCCTGCCCTTCATACAATTAATCTAGATCTAGCATAAGTGGCATAGTGCTGAAGTCAACTAAGCTAAGCTGATTTTAAGTGTGACAAATTTTCTGCGAAGAAGATTCTTATTTCTTACTTCTGTATCTACATCTCTGCAAAATGCACTTCTAAATCTGCAACTAAATAAAAGATCTAGATCTAGACCTACTTTTAAATAACTTTTTGGTTCAAATGGTAAAATGGTAAATGTTTAACACCCTTATGAGATTGTTTCAGAGGTGGGACCTCCGAGTTTAACGTCCTCTCCGAAAGGACGGAGCCAAGTGGGGAATTCGTTTTAAGTGTTTTTCTCAAGAACTCAACGTTGGACCGAGCTGAGGCTCGAACTCTTAAACCCGCAATATCACGATTACTTAGAACTCTTTGATACCATTTTTCAGCATAAAAGGTTCTAGACTTTGGTGAAACGTGGGTGGTTGGCGGGGGGTCTGGTGTGGTTTGCTTCTTCTTTCCTATGAAACAGCTATCGTCCTTATCTCCCCTTTCTTCTTTTTTATGTTTGTTACTCTCTTGTAACACCTCTAATCTTCTGGCGTTCATATGACCATATACAGTTGCGAGCGCCGTAAAACCTCCACTAAAACTAAAAGAACTTTGGTGGAACTAAATTAGGTTGCATTGTTACTATCATCGATGTAGGAAAAATGGGAGGTTTTGTCTTTCATTTTACTCGCTATTGCTCTCAGTTCCATCCTGTTACCTAAATTACAGAATGACGACACAGGAGTTTGTCGAAAAAGTCATACACATCTTTCATGATAAAATAACTATTCTGTTTTGTTTGTGCTTAAATTACCCATTTTTAACCCGAACTTTGGTCAGTTTAGCTATTTGACACGTACCCCTCCTTCTTGCTATCTTGTATTTTCTCCTGTTACTCTCAATTCCGTCCTGTTACTCAAAGTTAGAAATTACAATTCAGGTGTTCTGTTGAAAAAACACCAACGTACGACTCTATTAAATGCAGATTACCTCACATTCTAAACCAAACTGTGGTCAGTTAAGATATTGAGCTAAGTTCCCTTCTCTCCTGTTACTTTTTATTCTCTCCTGTTACCAAAACAGTAACAGCAAAACCATGATTAATATTTGTTATTTGTATGTCGCCATTGTTACTTTTATCAGGCCATAAATGGAGAATTCTGAGTGAAAACAAAAGCAAAAATAGATCTTGAGAATGTCACAGGTAGGAATGCCAAATTGATACCGGTACTAGATCTACTTCATTTAGGTATAGTGGAAATTACACATGTGAGCAAAGATCCAACACAACTCGGGGCTAGTCAACTACTAAATCGGGCATCGATATTTCACGAAATAGTACTCCGAGTTCCTGCTGACAAAAAGTTTAACGGGTGCTTCCCGCGACAGAGAAGGCAGAGTGTGTAAGTTTTTAGAAAAATCCAGGGCAACAGATGGCAGAGAAGGCAGAGTGTGTAAGTTTTTAGAAAAATCCAGGGCAACAGATGGCAGAGATGGCAGAGTTTGTAAGTTTTTAGAAAAATCCAGGGCAACAGATGGCAGAGTGTGTAAGTTTTTAGAAAAATCCAGGGCAACAGATGACAGAGATGGCAGAGTTTGTAAGATTTTAGAAAAATCCAGGGCAACAGACGGCACAAAACATGATACAAATTTCTCCCTGCGAGATGAATAAAGATTGTCAATTGTCATAGGTACTGTTCGTCTTATGCCCCCCCCCCTCCAACAGAAACACACACAGGAGTATGCGCGCGCACGCTCACACATGTGCATGCACGAACAGGTTTTTCAAAAAATAATTCCCCATATTGCTAAATAAACTGAAGGATATAGGGACACATTTGTAAACAAAGTACAATCTGCCATTCTATTCTTTGTGCCTGTGCCATTCTTTGTCAATGACAGATGGTCACGGTCAAGGCCGTCAAGGTTACCAAAAGTTGTTTTTTTTTTTTTACCCTCAGTAATGTAAAAATATTCTTCAACTCATAAGCTTTCAGAAAATGTCTTCTATTGCAATTTTTAACTTTCTTTTTTTTAAAACTCTAGTTTTTGTTCGTTCTTTTTCAGGTGTTTCAAATCTATCCCAAACAGAGGCGCTTTTCTCCGGATGAACTGGACTAGACCATCCTGGCGTCAAGTACAATGAAAACGGCGGAAAAAAGATCCATTGTGGAAAGACAGCATGCAAAGTCTGTTCTAACGAAGGATATTTATAATTGTGCCAGACTGTTTGTTGGGGGTGGGGGGAATTCCGATGGGGATGCATGTCAGGGGATTTTGGATGGTGTTGTGCAAGAGGATGGCTTTGGGAGGGTGGGACAGGATGAAAGTAGGGGTTTTTATTTTTTGTGTTTAACAAACCAGAGCTATGGGGGACACTCTACGTAAGTTCCCTGAAGTCCTAGTGATGGACTGCACCTATAAAATAAACCATTTTCTTTACCCTTTACTCGCAGTTATGTCTTTAGATGGGGATGGTCAGGGTATGCCTGTCTTCCATGCCATTTTATTGCGGGAGGACAGGCATATCCTGGCACAGTGTTTAAAGCTTTTGTCAGATCAATATGAATTATGACTGTTCATTGACATCCTGTTTTGTCATAGATAAGGATATGGCTGACATTTCAGCTATTGGCACAGTGTTTCCTGGCTGCGAGTGAACCTGTGCCAGTTGCACATTTCTCAGGCAGTGGAACGGCATTTGAGGAAGTACCTCTGACAAGGGCCCGGGGCTGTAAAAGCTGTCTTAGACACTTTTATGGCCCAGGTCCTTACAGAGTCTGAGGACGAGTTTTAGGGTCTGAAGAGTGACATTGAAAATTTAGTGCCTTCTGATGTGGCACAGTTCTTTGAGAGTAATTTGTGGGCCAAGAGACACCTGTGGGCTGCCTCCTGCAATGTTAATGTTACAAAATTGCGTGCCACCTCGACAAATGCGCTTGAGACCTACCATTCCAAAATTAAGAAGACAGTGAATGAGAAGATAAGCCTGAGTAGGATTCTGAGGAACATCATCGAGTTTGGTGATTTAAAAATTATGAAGGCTAATAGATTAAGAGTTGTTTTGTCTGTCTTTAGGGTCTATGATGCCTCAGATTCAAATCCATTTGCAAGATCTGTCACTAGCTGCATGACTAGGTTCAGTGCAGATCTTGTGAAGAAAGAGCTGCGTCTTTCTGATGGAGTTGAATATGAGGTGTGATCAGAATCCAGTGATGGCACCTTTGTTGTCAGCTACAGGGGAGGCTGTACACGACAACATTGGTTTCATGCACTTGTAGCACGTTGGGTCACATGAGACTGCCATGCCGACATATCTTTGTGGACTGTCGGCTTTCAGATTTACCAGTCTTGGACTGGAGCCTTGTTCCTGACAGATTCAGGTATGACTATGAGACCATGCAGGACACTATAGATACTAGTCACGCAGCAGACTGTGTCACAGTTTCAGTTGGGCCGCCGTGTTATTGTTCAGCTGAGGGTAGGTGCAGGAAGGCAAGGGGGATATGTGATAGAATTGTTGATTTTTTTTATCTATTTGTGGTGAGAGGGAATTTGGGGAAAAGATAGTGGAGCTTGAGAGTCTGTGATAGGTAGTTGGTAAGAGGGAAGGGAACAGGTGGGTGTGATAAATGAGTTGAGAAGGGATCAGATAGGAGGCAGGGAGTTTGGAGAGGATCAGCGCGTAGGAAGAGGAATCATGGTGTATTTGAGGAGTTTGGAGGGGATGAGGGTGTGGGGGAGAAATTAAGAGGGAATCAGTGTGTGGGGGAGGAATTAAGAGGGGATCAGGGTGTAGGAAGAGAGTTGGGAGGGTAGTTTGAGGCCTCTTCCTGGCCGCTTATGAGGAGGATGGTGAAGCCCCGTGGCAGGCTGTGCATCAGTCGAAGTTTCACTAAGAAACGTCACAGAAAGTTTCCAAAGAAGTTTTGTAATTTGTCTTTTTGTGAGAAGCAATCCTTGCTGATTGCGTATGTTTCTAATTCTGCTTCTTCCGCAGATCGTTTACTTTCTATAGATGATGTCAAATCCTACCGATATTTTGGGGATATTGTATTAGATAGTAGTGTGGAGATTGACATCATCAGACTGTTTATTTCTCTGCTTGAGATGCAGTTGTAGTTGTTAATGGTGTAGAAAGTAAACGGTGTGATAACTTATTTCATTGGGGTGACTGCAAAGAGCAGGACGATCTTACGATGAAAATGGTGCAGTGTGAGAGGTGCCTTGTGTGGTTCCACTTTGAGTGTGTTGGCTACAGTTCAAAGAAGATGGTCAACTGGTTTTGCGAGCCATATTACTCTCATTGCTGAGTGCAAGCCACAGAAGCTTTTAAACTGTATTCCTACTCCACTTTTGTTCTATATTCTTATATTCCACAATTCTTATGTATTGAACTGGCAGCATGCCATACGTGTCTTCTTATTCCTCAATTCTTTGGCAGCATGCCACGGGTGTCTTCAAATTCCTCAATTCTTCTGTATTTGAATTGGCAACATGCCATCTAGGTGTCTTTTTTTTCCACAATTATTCTCACAATTTGTATTTTCGAATTAGCAGCATGCCACTGGTAGGCTACCTTCTTATTCCACAATTATTCACTTTCCACTCTTACTCTCACAATTTGTATTTGAATTGGCGGCATGCCTCGGGGTGTCTTCTTATTCCACAATTGTTCACACAATTTACAATTTTTAAAGGTATTGTTGGTTTATTTGGTGAAAAATAAATTTTCATTTTTGAGAAGCCCTCATGAAATTATATATGTTGGATTATGAATAATATGCTTTTGGAAAATGTTCATTACATTGGTTTTATGTAATAAAAACGTTTTTCAATGAATTACTTTGGTGTTGGATTTTTATATATAGGCCTATATATAATCTAAACCCCGTCAGTCGGATTTATGTTCCCCGATAAGCGTATTTCGGCACCTCGCCTTTAGAGACACTAGAGAGAGGGAGAAGCAAGATTCTGATATATAATCTAAACCCCGTCAGTCGGATTTATGTTCCCCGATAAGCGTATTTCGGCACCTCGCTTTCAGAGACACTAGAGAGAGGGAGAAGCAAGATTCTGCTGTACGATATATATGTGTTTTTGAAAAGTCTTTTTTATTGGGGGGGGGGGGGGGGGGGGGGTGACATGCACATGTGGGTCATACTTTATCTAAAATAAGTGGGCAGTTAGCGGGTGCTCTGGTGTGGTTTGCCCCTTTTTTCCTATTGTCCTGATCTCTCCTCCTTTTTTTGTGTTACTCTGTTGTAACACCTCTAATCTGCGGCACTTCTATGACCTTATTGTGTTGCAAGTGCCGTAAAACTCTTACTAAAACTAAACTAAAATTGTCTGCCACATGATACAATGTCTCAAGCCCCAAAACCAAAATTTATCCGGAGAGAGAAAAACTGTTTCATTCTTTAAAAATTGCACGTACACTTTGAAACTGGTTATGAAAGTAGAAAGAAGGAAAAGACATTATTGATTGGTTGAGACGAGTCATTCTGTGAAAAGGTGTTTTTGTAATGAGATAATTGGCTAGGCGCATTGTTCCATTCCTTTTTTTACTCTGATACAATGTACCAAGTTCTCGCGCACTGCTGTTTATTACTTCAAAAGCGGGGTTTGCTTGAAGACAAATCATCATTCTGCTTATCATAGCTTTCTTAGGTATTATTGATAGTTTGTAGATCTGTGAAGGATAAAACATATAAGGTCAGACAAGAAACAGACACACACACACACACACACACACACACACACACACACACACACACACACACACACACACACACACACTCACTCACACACACATACACTCCTGCACATAGATAAATATATTTCAAAATACTTTAACAAAGCAGTTCTCTAAAGTGTCATAAAAAGCATGGGCATCAGCCAGAATTAATGGTTTCAGCCGATGTAAATGTTGATATTTTGTACTTTAGATTCGTCTTCTTTGTAAGTGTAGTGCTGGGACAGTGGTGCTTGATGGCATGTGGTTGCAGATTTGGGCTTGTCTTGTCAGTCGTCAAAGAAAACGAGCTTGTACTGAATGTCCCCTTGTGAGAAATAGCGGGAGTGCTCGTATGTCGACCGCTTTTCCGTCCCTGACTTTTCTTCCTGGTCGAATGGTCGAGTATTCTTGTGCCAATGAATATTTTCTGAAGAAAATATATAGTCTAGGTATTTGACTTCATATGGCAGAGGGCTTTGATGCACCAACCTGAAGACATTAACATACATATGTAGTCAGAAGGTATGTGTATAAGAGCGTTTTTGAGGGACGGCTCAATGACGCTATGAACACTATCGAACTCCATTTGAGTGAGCCCCATTGTGAGATATTTCTGTTCAGTTGTGATGTTGAACTCACGAACTAGAGCTGAGATGACACTAGCGATTGAGGCTTTTTTTATTTTGGTAAATGCATCCATCACAGTACAGTATTATTCTGCCATAGGATTTGGCAAAGGATCGTATTGTCCTCGATGCAAGATGAAAATTCGTCAGAAGTTAGTCCATCTTCAACCTCACGGCTGACATAACATTTCACGTCCTGGATTGTCATATTGTAGACAGTAAAGCAATTCACGGAAAGCTTTGTTCTATAGGGCAGAGTGGAGACCTTGAGCATGGGACACAAGACACACTGAAGACCTATGCAGACACGCCCCCTCTGACGTTTCCTTTGTTTAGGTTTCCACTGACTCCACTGTTATCTTTTAATCCATTCTTTCTCTTGTCACGCTGCCTGTTTACTTTCTTTGTGAACTACCCACGCACCTTTTGTTAAGTTGCCTGTTTGAAACCCGACGCAGATGTTTGTTTCTGGCTGGAAAAAACACAAAATTGTTTTGGTTGAACTCGTTCCTGAATATGGCGAGCCCCACAGTGTAGGTCTTTTACTCTCTACACATTTTGTTACATAAAGTCTGTATACGTCGATCAAGCTTTTAAACTTTGGTTCCAAAAGCAACTTTGAGGAACTGTCTTCATTAATCACTGGTTACATTTGGGAGACAGTGTAGAAATTGTTCATGCAAGAATAAGTTGGACTCTCCTGCTCTGTCAGAGTGTGAAGTAGCCCTCAATGATTTGTTTCTTCTTTGGCTCGATTATGTTCTTTCTGCTTTTGTTTTTGTAAGAGTTTTACGGCGCTTGCAACTGCATAAGGTCATATAAGCGCCAGAGGATTAGAAGTGTTACAAGAGAGTAACAAAAATAAAAAAGAAGAACGGGAGATAAGGACGATAGATGTCTCGTAGGAAAGAAGGAGCAAACTATTTGAATCAGCACATTCATAAAGACTGAGGTGTGAATATTTATCATCATGACCTCTGCTTTTGCAATTGTAAGGTTAAATTGCTAACCCCCCCTCCCCCCCCACCTCATCCCCGCCCTAAAATGTGGGATCAAAGCTTTTTAATTTGTCTTTTCAAACTAAAGACATTTTTGGCTTGTTTATTAACATCTCTTCCTGGCGGAGTTTCGAAGTCAATTACGAAGGCAAAAATTAAGAAACCAAGACTGAAGAAATTCGAGTAATTGAGACTGAACACTGAGTGATAATGTAACGATGAGACATTATCTTTTCCGTTAATGAGTCAAGCAACAGCCCATCATAAATTCAGTCTCTCCCACTAAGCATCGGGTCTCCCTTCAGAAGTCTTAATAGTGCAATAAATTATTACCACTCTGTCTACATCAGCTGACCCAAATGTGTACATATTTTCGGCACATCCAAGAGACAACATCAGAATGTCTCTTAGACGCAGTTTTTGTTTTTGCCACTGGACCGTGTGGCCATAAAGCGTTCATCTATGCTGTCCAGCAGAGCGTAGCTTGTGATCTTGGAGCACGACGGCCTGCACATGGCACATTGTGTTTTCTTGCTTTTTTCAACATGTAGAATGTGAATTTCGACAAAATATTTCCTAACCAACCGATACCATAGATTAAGAAACAGCAAAAAATTTTTTTCAAAATTTTCTGGTTGTGACTTTGTATCATGTGGCTTACGAAATAATACTATTCAGAGCCGGGTCTCTCTCTCTCTCTCTCTCTCTCTCTCTCTCTCTGTCTGTCTGTCTGTCTGTCTGTCTGTCTGTCTGTCTGTCTCTCTCTCTCTCTCTCTCTCTGTCTGTCTGTCTGTCTGTCTGTCTGTCTGTCTGTCTGTCTGTCTGTCTGTCTGTCTGTCTGTCCGTCTGTCTGTCTGTCTGTCTGTCTGTCTCTCTCTCTGTCTCTCTCTCTGTCTCTCTCTGTCTCTCTCTCTCTCTCTCTCCTCCCCCCCCCCCCCGACTTCCTTCTCTTTTTCTTCTAACTCCATGTTTGTGTGTTTTGTGTTTGTCTACACGGATCTTATAAGTAGATAGGAAGATAGATTTAGAGCAATTCCCTGATAACACTAGCTTCACAGAAACAGAGAATTTCTTAATATTTTTTTATATTGAGGAAAGTTGCAATGCTTAGAATAAAGAGGGGGGGGGGGGACCACGAGGATTTGAAATCCTTTCAAGGTGACAAGAATTTAGTATTAAACAAAGTCTACAGTATGTGTGTGGGTACATTATATAACTATCCACCTGTTTTCTTTTTTTGCCTTACATGATATGGATATGCAGACATATCTGCACGTAGTCATGCTCACACTTCAGACATCGTTTTTCCTTTCCATTTCACTCAGATATATTCAACTCATGGGCACAAAACATTCCAATTCGAGATTTGCATTCCAGGACATGGTAATTTTGATGTATTGATGCAGATTTTGTTCTGTCTTTATTCTATTCTAAGAAGCCTTAGTCAAAGATGAAAGTTCTTATTGTCTTAATGAATTAAACCACAATCAACCCCTAAGCTGAGAGAAAATTTTGTCTAGCATGACGATTATAATTCGATAAATATTTCACAGGTCCTTAAATGGTCACTTTTAAGCACAAGGGGGGCTATCCCAAAAAATGCTGTTTGGAGAAAATCAAAGGTAAAATTTTGGACCCTTGTTCACTTTTTAAAAAAAATAAGTAGAGTTTTCTTCATAACCAAACAAACGTACCCAGCAATGAAACCAAACTTCTCCTATAGGTAGGGCAGTGCCGACTTTTGGTGTAGGTCACGATTTCTGGAAACCCCCGAAACCTGGGTTAGTCCCGCTTGTCCTTAAAAGCGACCAAATAATCTGCCTGTTGGCGAATGTGGAAAAATGTAGAAATAACCTAGGCCTAGATATCTTCTGTTTGTTTGGGTTTTATTTTTTGCTTCCTGTCTTTTCTTGTTCCTTTGCGCATCAAGTTTTCATGTGGACTTTTTTTGCAGGATGCTACCAGAAGTTCCTACACTATTCTATACATTATGTCTGTTACGTTTGTCAGTACGTCATGCCTTTTTTTCCCTCCACTAACTTGCCAATAATATTATTAGGATGTGCTTTTCTCTCTTACTTGGTTTTCAAAACCAGAGCTCATGTACATGTATGGGCATTATTTTCCTTTTTTCATGAATTTAGAAATGAAACTTTTGATAATACATGTACTTTATCATGCATGCTTATATTATGTATAAAAATAATGTAGCGTTTGTCAGGGTAAAAGACTGTATGTTGTTATAGTCTTGTATGATGATACTAATCTGTGCCTTGTCTGTGTTTTTCTCTTTCACAGATCTGTCTGTTCCTGAAGGACCATGGAAGCAGTAGGGATGGCGAATTGTCCTGTTGCAGCTGTAGATGTACCAAAGGTGGAGAAGCCGAGAGAGTTTTTCATGCGTTTCGAAGAAGGCAGGTTGTATCATATGGGTTTGATATACCAAACCTGTCCTTTGGATTTCAGATGAGAGAGAATACT